CTCCACCATTGGGACAGCATTATTTCGTTATCAGGTCCTTAATGGCGCATTTATTGTCCGCATTGAAGTATCATCGGCAAGATGGCATCAGTTTGCAGTAAATCCCTGAAAGATCAAAGAACAACAAATACCCTCTCCACAGACGTAAGGTTTTCCAGTTGTCTTGTCTACAGTCCCCTTCACAGAATCACAGACTGGTCAGGGTTGGAAGGGACCTCTGGAGCTCACCCAGTCCCACCCCCCATCAGAGCAGGGGCACCTCCAGCAGTGGCACAGGACGGCGTCCAGGCGGGTTTGGAATGTCTCCAGCGTGGGAGACTCCCCCACCTCTCTGGGCAGCCTGTGCCACTGCTCTGCCACCCTCAAAGGAAGGAAGTCCCTCCTCATGTTAAGATGGAACTTCCTATCGTCAAATTTGTGCCTGTTACCTCTTGGCCCCTTCTTGAATCCAACTAAAATGTACTCCTGTGTGGTCCCCAAAGGGAGTGGAGATGGGACGTACTGAGCAGGGACACACCGACAGCTCATCCCCTGTTCACGTGTAAGAAAAGAAGAAATCTTGCCAATATCTCATTCACCACATCAGTTGGAGGAGAAGAGAGTGGCAAACATCAGTAATAACCCACAGTACCATTTTTCCCATATCTGTGCGAGTGAGGAATCCTTGTGGTCATCCGCCTGCCCAGGAGGTTGCGCGTTCAAGCCCTGTGTCTCCTGTACAGTTTCTGGGGATAAAAAAAGCTCTTTGTGTGTGTGTGTCTGGATTCATCCCACTGACTGTAACACAGCTGGAGCGTGGGTATGCACAGCTGAGTCAGGATAACCCGCAGCTCCCTGGTTCAACCCGAATCGTTGCACAAGCTAAAAAATTTTGGGCTCTGCATGGTGGCCAGGAACAGGTCTGCCCTCCTGTGAGGGCATGGCTCTCCGAGTGGGGATGAGCTCCCAGCACCTGGCTCCTGCTTGAGCCTGATCGGGATCTTGATGGTTCCTCTGCACTCTCCTTGATTCCGGGGGACGATGGTGTTCCCAGAAGATGCTTATTGGAAAGTGCCACCCCCCTCTCCAGATTTAGACCTGCAAAGGCCCGAGGAGGCTATAAGGGAATGGGATGGGGTGATGGGAAGGGGCTACAAAACCAAAGCAGAGCATGAGAAAACAACCTCAATCCCTTATGGGCTACAGGCACCGTAACCTTATGAGCCCCTGAACATCTCTGTTTTATCCAGTGGCTCCAAAGCAGGATAAAGCTTTGCTCTACAAGCTCTGCTTTGGGTTTTTTTTTCCCCTTCAATCATTAGGGCTCTGACAACATCCGTCCTTACAGCAGTCACAGCGCAACCTTACCTGCGCAGAGGACAGGGGATTGATTTTAATGCTGATGCTAACCTTGGACTTTGGGGATTATACATGACTGAGGAATGAAACTCAAACAGTTTCATGTGTGTCCAGACATCAAAGCCATCTTCTGCTTTGTTCTGCAAAGGACAAGGTTATGTTGTAACTGCGTGTTGAGGGCAAACCATCCCACCTTGCCCGATTGGGCATTAGCCCAGAACTCGCAGTGCTGGAAATTCAGGCAGAAACTATGAAGCAGCTGTAGAAGAGCCAAGGAAAACAAAACCTACCTGTAACTGCACAAGGCTTAACTGCGACAGTTCATATTCCCAGTGACAAATCCAGCACCTTTTCAGGACTTGAACATTCCCTCTACAGCGCTCACCTCTTTTTAATCACCTGTGGGTTCTTTTCTTTGCTCTGCTACCAAGAATTAAGCTGGAGCTCTTTCCACGTTCTGCCCAATGGTTTGCTCTTTGCAAGCTCCAAACCATGCCCAGGGATGCCTCGGGCAGGTCAGAGCCCTGGTGACACCCTGGCCAAGTGATGTCCTTGCTCCAGGGCGAGAGGATTTTTTTGTGAGGGTAGTTTGCATGAAGGTCGTTCACTGATAAACGCACAGGGTCTATTTGTGGTTATCACTTGTAGGGATGCCAGGTCAGAGCTGAGGGGTGAGGGACGGGCACTGCACAAACAGGGACTGGGCTTAGGAAAAATACATGCAAAAATAACGACAATTACAGTGATTCAGCAGAACAATCGGGCTTTACTTCCTTGTCAGAGTGGTTTATTTAACCAAACAGTATTGAGTCTATAACAGACTTCAGACATGCTCAAATGCATGCAGTTGTGAGAAGCAAAAAAATAATAATAAAAAAAATAATAATCACTTTGAGTCATATACGGAAGAGTGTGAAAGCTCCAAATCTACAATTAAGATTTATACTGAGATGGGTTGTCCCCTGGCACTGAGCTTTCCATCCCAAAGTGTACCGGCAAGAGTAAAGAACTCGCCTGTGCCACCAGAAACCTTATTGCATTTGTAAAAGAAGCTAAAGTGGAAGGAATCCAGGGTCTTGAAAAATTGACTGGGGGGGCAGACCTCCTTGCAGCCTCGTGTAACTCCTCTGTCCCCCAAAAGAACTGAATGTGGAGTCTGGCCCTAAACCCTTGGCTTTTTTCTTCTGTAGTGCATAGCGAAGAGAATATTACTGGGACATTCAAAGCTTTACCGTCTATTGAGTCAGCGTCTGCACAGTGAAAACTTGTCTGCTCTCAGTCCCAATTCCCACTCTGCACAGCGGGCAAGGGAAGGAGTCACGATGCCGCACACTTCAGGTTTGGAACAATAAGGGTTAGACATGTTGGCAAAGACCACCCCTGGTTAACCAGCATCACCTCTACTCTTAAACTGTAATGCATTAGAAAGTGATTTCCCATCCTTGTTCCACTAATCACAGCCAGATGCAGCTCTGAGAAAGCCTCCACTTACTGCTATTGTAACGCAAATTGAAGAAACACAACGGCACCGATAGATGCATCATCCACTTCAGAGAAACTCAAAAGGAACACCGAGGTTATAAGTAAAAAGCAATGACACAGCTAACACCACCCGTTGCAGAGGAAAGTAGATTTTGAAGGAGAAAGAGGAACATGAAAGTTCAGGACTTTTCTGAAGAATTAAAACACACAAGTTTTGCCAGTGACACTGCTGCCAGCTCTCCTGGTAGATGCACTTCCCAGAGAAGCGCAGCCCGGCTTCAAAGCGGCAAAGTCTCTCAGTAGCACAACATCTGCGTGTTAACCGGGTCATGGTCACTATTGCGTTTGTTGCCTTTACTGTCCGGTGGCCGTCACTGATCCAAACACTGGCGCCGGGCAGGACCGGGGAGAGTTTTTGATGGGGAAGCAAAGCAAAGCTGCAGTGAGCCCCTCATGCCACTGCCTGACAGTGATGGATGTGCTCAGCAAAGGCTTTCTGCCCAAGCCCATTTTAGCCCCACTTGGGAAGAAAGCCGTGCAACGAAACGCTCCTCCTTGTGCCATAGGGAACGTCTTTCCCAGAGATGCCAATGCACCAAGTCAGAGCTTGGTTTCTTCAAGAGTTGTTTCTCTGTGTTTGTTATTTAATATGTTTTTTAATATAATCGATGCAGTTACAGTCAGACAGGTGAGGGGTTACTGTGAGATCCTATGTGATGGGTAAGTCTGTCATCTAGGTCTAATGGGAGACTACAAATACATGCCCCAAAACCCCAAGTTTTGTGGTGGTTTCAAACCTTGAAACCTTTGAAGAGCTCAGTCAACTCTGCAGACGTGACAGTGCAGGTGCTCATGGAGAGCTGGTGACCTTCCATGGAGCCACACAGCTCCCCGAGAAGCGCACGGGGCTCTAAGAGAGCAGGAGCTGGGCTGCCCAAGTAGAGCAGTGTACAGAGGGTCAACCTGGGCCCCAGGGAGAACACTAACTCTTCTCAAAGCCAAGCAAGCTACAGGTTCTCGCAGGAGCAGGATGAGGAGAATGTGCCATTAATCAGTTCCTGGGAAGCCCCATTGCTGCTGCCCTCCCTGCACACAGCTCGTGCTGCAGGGTCGAGCTACAAGGCTGCTTTGATGGAGACTGGGTCTTGTTCCTTGTGACTTGGGCAGGAAAGAGTTTCCTCAAAGAGTATGAAAAGCCCTGGTTAAAATCTCCTCTGTGGTGCCACTGTCCCACAGGTAACACATACCTCCTCCCTTTGGAGCCTCTTGTTGCTCCACACCTTGAAGAGCCCTTCTCCAGCCCCATGTTTAATCTCAGGTCACGCCCCGTGGGGATGGAGGAGAACTTGGCCAGGACACCAGGTAGGTGACATGCTGAGCCTGGCTGCCGATGGGTGCTAGCAGAGTCCCATCACTCCAGCCTTGTGTCTGGCTCTCGGCAAGGACATGGGATCACAGGACAAGTCAGGTTGGGAGAGAGCTCAGGAGGTCTCTAGACCAACCTTCTGCTCAAAGCAAGGTCAGCTGTTGGCTCAGACCTGGTTGCTCAGGGCTTAACCTAGTTGGACCTCTACCTCCAAAGCCTGCGGATACATCGCTGTCTAACTTTAGTCCCCCAAAAAAGTGCTTCACTCTTCCCTGTTTTCCCATCATAACTCATCACTGAGTTCTTTTGGATTGGAGGCAGGTGGGAAACCCACCGGTCACTCAGACCCTGCTGTGGTGGTCACTGTGGGATGAGCAGTGCAGTAACACCTGAAAGCGTGTCTGGCTATCACGCCCTGTGGCCAGGGGCAGAAGTCTGCGCCCCGCATTTGCACGCATGGAGTCTCACTGACCTCAGGGAAAGATTTGCAAAGCTGCTTGGGGCTGGGAGCTCGTTTCATTCGGAAATGGCTACGCAAACCTCTCCTGGTTATTCCAGGAGGTGTTCAGCAAAGTGACACGCACACTGTCAAGTTACCGTTGGTCAACTGAGCCATGTTAGGTCTATATTTCTGTTCTCGCCTTGTGGCAATGCACGTAATGTGGATTAATTTGCTCAGTTTACGCTAAATCGCATGTGGAGAGCAGCTACCCCAGCTCAGCTGATGCACAGCAACTTGGCAGGACTCTTTGGTGTCAAACACTAAGTTCAGAAGGGGAGAGGGAGACAAGTCACGTCTGTCGTTACATCCATGTCACTGTGCAATCATGAGGCCATACTTGGAGCACAGCAGGCCCCTTTTCTTTTCCCGTTCGGTGAGGAAATTCCTCAGTTTGGTGGTAGGGAAGGTAACCAGTGCTTGCTGCCTGTTGTCCAAACCCGTCTCCTGGAGCCATGGGCTCTGAAGGCATTCCGAGGCTGATGGCCTTCCCCTAGGCACAAAGGTGAGAAGGTCAGTTGAGGACCTGTGCTGGGTGAGGAGGCTCCTTGGCAATGGAGAAAAAGAAAGGACAACAGCCAGGATCTGCACCAACTGTGCTGTTGGGAGAGCAGACACCATCTTACCAGGGATTTGCACACAGCGTGCTCTGGAGAAACGACACTGCTCCCCCGGAGAGACCCGCGTAGCACCGCGTGAGCTTCACTTTCCCCTTCCTGGTCGTTCTCAGAAACTCGCAGGCTACGTCGGAGCTGACGGGGTAGTTGGCACTCAACCTGCCCCAAAAGAAGAGAACTGATCAGCATGAAAGGCATCGCTCAAGATGCTGCTTCTCCCAGGATTTCCCACCCAGCAGTGAGAGGAGGGGCACGACATCGCACAGAAACATCATATGGGAAAACAAAATCCTGTTCTTCTGTGGTTTTCACGGCTTTGGCTGCTTTTCCACTTGGCGTAATTTGAATTTTCTTGTTAAAGTTGGGGCGTTTCAGACGAGGCTGAGTGAGAAAGACCAGCAGCTGCTGTGTTGTAAACCAGCCTTACTCTGCTTGGAGACGTTGGTGGGACTTGGCATCTGTGCATGGTGCAGCCAGCTCCATACTCTCCATCACACAGACTTCTGCGGCATTACAAAACTGTCCTGGTTTTGGCTGGGATAGACTTAACTGTCTTATTAGCAGCTGGTATCATGCTATGTTTTGGATGTAGGATGAAAATAATGTTGATAACACAATAATGGGGTTGTTGCCAAAGCTCTCAAGGACTTTTCTGCTCCTCACCCCACCAGTGATGGGCTGCGGGTGCACAAGAAGTTGGGAGGGGACACAGCCGGGACAGCTAATCCCAACTGACCAAAGGGATATTCCATGCCATGTGATGTCATGCTCAGTGTATAAAGCTGGGGGAAGAAGAAGGAAAGGGGGGACATTTGGAGTGATGACATTTGTCATTGCAAGTCACCGTTACATGTGATGGAGCCCGGCTGTCCTGGGGATGGCTGAACACCCTCCTGCCCATGGGGAGCAGGGAGTGAATTCTGTGATTTGCTTTGCCGGCATACATGGCTTTTGCTTTACTTTATTAAACTGCCTTTATCTCAACCCACGAGTTTTCCTTGTAGGAAGGGAGGGGGTAGGGGGGCGGGGGGGAGACGTGAGCGTGTGGCTGCATGGTCCCAGCTGCTGGCTGGGGTTAAACCCCGACAGGGGCACAGCTGAGGTTAACTCTTTGAGGTAATGCATCTCCCCTGGGCGATGACTATGAAATTGCGCTTTTAAAGCCGCTCATAGGGCTGGGAAAGACAGACTGACTTACATGATGAAGGCTGTGATTCCGACGGACCAGATATCAGTCTGCGGGAGGGCTCCTTGCTCTGTCAGCAGTTCTGGAGCTAGAAAAGCAAACTGGTTTGAGCCAAGCTCCCCTCCAGTGCAGAGACCAGCACAAAACCAGTGGGTACTTACGCTTTGCTACCTTCCCGAGAGCGACGAAGAAAAAGCTTCGAGTGGAGGGAGCTCATTGAGATGAGACACTCTCCTGGGTGGTGAGTGCAATGAAACCTTGCGAGCGTGAGGCCAACTACTAGTAATACTATATCCCTCAGCTCTGGACATGTGGATGCCAACCAGAGCGGTGTTGGCCGTGACCTCTGGCTTTGTTCTCTGTGGTCCGCAAGTGGGATGACTGTCACCACTCGCTGTTCCTGCAAACTCGCAGTGTTACTGGAGTGCAGCACCTGGGAGACTTGGCTTGCTGGGGCCAACTGCTGCCTTGACCGACCAATGGCTCTGTCTTTCTGTTTACCGCAGATTGCATGCGAGGCCAAGGTTGCTGTGACTGAACTCTACTTACCCATGGTTTCAACATAGTCCATGCACTTGTCCATGGTAATAACTTTGTCTTGTGTGTAGAACTGTGCATTGCCAAAATCCAGGAGTTTCAGCAGGTTGGGCTCGGTGATGATCATGTTTTCAGATCGGAGATCCAAGTGCAGGATGCTGTGCGCGTGGAGATACTCAATGGCACTGAGGATCTGCCACAGGTAATCTCGGACCTCTACTTCTGAGTACGATGTCCTGGTAGAAGAAAGGGAATAGAAACAAGAGGTGTCCTACCTACATGCCCAAGGGCACCATTCTACACCCACTATCATCCTCCCCTGGATGTTTAATCCCATGAAGCCCCTGAGAGTCAAGAAACAACTCTACTCATTTAGCAAATCTATATATGGAAAGGCTGGTCCAGATTGTGGGTCAGGTTTAGAGACACAAGAGGTTCAGGAGGTTGTAGAGCTTCTTGTCAGAGAAAGCAGTGGTTGTGCAGACATCAAAATGCAGACTTGATGCCCACCATTCCCTCTCCTTTAATCAGCGGATTTCAGCAGATCCAGTTTCTGCCATTGTGAGAAACAACGTGGAGGAGAACTGAGGCTTCCTGAGCCACAATAATCTCCTCTTTATGGGAGAGGGGGTTTCATATCAGCTTCGGTAAACTGCCTTCAGCATCTCAAGTGGGTGGCCCTGAATTGTCCCCTACCCCAACCTTGTAGGGAACTTAAGTATTTTTTTTTAAATTTCACATGAAGTTGCAGAACAAATGCATCAAAACTCCTGTATGCAATGACAGCACATTGGAACAGAGGGAGAGAGATGCTCCAGTTTGTCAGGGGAAAGCAATAGGTGTTTCGCTCCCTACACCAGCCCCAACTGGGAACCCCTTCCCTCCACTTGTTTTTACCGTAATGCCAAAGAGTGGAGTAGCTCTGGTCCAACGCACATCTCCTGGATCAACACTAAGTGCCGTGGGCTGACGTAGGCTCCCTTCAGCTGAGCTATGTTCGTGTGATGAAGCTTCCTCAGGACTTGGTACTCGAGGAGCACAATCTGCTTGTCCTCTTGCCAGTAAGGGATAATTTTAGCAGCTAAAGTCTTGCCGCTTACTTTTTCCCTGCACTGTCGGACGATGCTGAAACGCCCCCTGGTACAAAGGAACACAAAGGTAAGTTAAGCTTCTCTGCCGCTCCTGGAAGAGCCAGGAGCTTCTGTTCTTTAAAACCACCAGGATCCCATGCTGTGTTTTTCATCCATGCCCGGTGTGGAGTTACTGCAGCTATTGTCACAGTTTGTACATCCTCCCATGTCTCTAAATCATACAGTCACTTTAAGTCACAGGAGCGAGAGCTTAACTCCTTTGGAGAGAGAGAGGGTGGCTCATTGTGTGTCAAGCAGGAGAACTACCCCCTGCAGGCAGCTGCCTCCTTCTGTTGGGAACACAAGTCAGTGCCTGTCTTCTAGGCAGAGAAAGTTGAATCACAACCCCACGTCTGAAACCCGTTGCTGCAGCAAGGAGAGGAGCCTTTGTTTGCCCTGGGCTCGCTTCGCAATACACTAAGGGGCTGTCCTGGTGCCCAGCACAGTCCCTTTTGCTCTCCCAGAAAATCCACGCCTGATTCCTACCAAACCCGGATGAAGATCTGTGGGAGACCTCGGCTGGTCCAAGGGATCAAAATACAAGTTTAACACTGACCCTGAACAGATACCCGTGTACCCTTGAGGAGACAGAAGAATCCTGAGAAGATCCAAGCAAACAAGATAAGGGGTGGCAAACATCCTGGCTTTTCCCAGAGCATGAACAGCGCGTGATCAACAATTGTATTGGCTGGATGGTGTGTGATGTGAGAGTGGATTGAACAAAAGTAGAATGTTAGAATATATGCACAGATAAGCAACCAGCTAAGAGGATAGAAAAGAGCACTGCTTGTAAAATAAAGGACGATTGCTGTAACTGGATATTGAGTGTCGTGTCCGTCTCTACAACGACACAGATCGCTCAGCCAATATCTCTGGTTTAGAGGTATCGCTGTGGAGGTGTTTCCAACAAAACACCATGACACTAGGTGAGCAGCGCATTTATAAAAGTGACTTTAGAAGTGACCTTTCTAAACTCCAGCCACATGTGGCACTTCTCTGGAATAAGTTGCTCAGAGAAGTTATGGAAGCTCCATCCCTGGAGGTGTTCAAGGCCAGGCTGGATGGGGCTTTGAGCAACCTGGGCTGGTGGGAGGTGTCCCTGCCCATGGCAGGGGGGTTGGAACTCAATGATCTTCAAGGTCCCTTCCAGCCCAAACCATTCTGTGATTCTATGATTTCCCTCCGGCTGGTTGAGTGCTCAGATGGATTCATTACCTTTTGATCTCTGTTTGGAAGGCGTAGGTCTGATAGGTTGGGAAAGGCTCAGATGGTGCGATTATTTCACTCTCTTCTTCAGTAGCAGCCGATGGGAAGCTCTGCACTGCAGCCCGAAGCTCTGCAGAGAAAAAGCCACAGGGTTTACATGGGAGAACACCTCTGTCTGGAAACTGGAGCCTCTCTGAGCCACCCTCCACTATCTATGAATGCCAAAGGCGACAGCAGAGCTGTCTCCAGACAAGTCTACAGGTTGTCTCCACTCCAGACTCTATGAGGTGGATTGTAGGTTGTGTGCGGTGCGATGATATCAAACATTATAGCCACTGGTTCTCATCTTCCCACATCACAAGTCATCAGTGCGTGGTAAGGCACTGACAAAGAATTAGAAACTTCTTTTAGTTGGATATTTCAGGGCAGCAGCTGAAACTTGCTGCTGTGATTCTGGCATGTGGTTGTACCTGAGTCCTCCCTGAAACGTTAAAGCATCCCTTGACACATTAAAGCTTCAGCTGGGAGATGCTGGGCACGTTGAGATATGTTAATGCACCCTGGGCCAAGGGAAAGCGGAGGATTTAGGGTGAGTTAAAAATATCTCTGTGAACTGATTTTTAGAGAATAATCTTTTCCACTGGGAGGAAATTCCACTTCGGCCATCCTTCCACTTCTTGGCAGAAAGGATACTTCTTTTGCTACAAGGATATATTCGCTGTGGGGTTATGGGATTCTTAATTTTAAAAACATCTGAGTAGAACAAAATATTCAAACAGGTGGAAAAAATAGTAAACTGCGCTTTCTCTATTTCAGAGACAAAACACAGCTGAAAAATGCACCACAGTAGGCCAATAATTCCCAGTAGTGAACACCAGAACACAAAAATTAACTACTGAACGTAGGACTGGGTTCCTACCAAAGAGCAGGGCCGGGGCTTTCACTGGTGGCAGGTCCATACCAGTAGATCAATATCTCCAGAAACACGTTCATTGTCCCAGACCTGTTTCCTCACGATCTCACATCAAAAACTGAGTGCGTCTTCAGTAGGTAATCTACAGTTCCCAGATTTTTTTTTAAAATTATTCTATTTTTGTATATATTTACTTACTATTTATATTTACATATTGTTATTATTTTATTGTTTATTGATTATATATTTACACATATTCCCCTAACTGTGTCCAGAATTAGAAAATCATTTTAAGTAAGAAAGCCAAAGAGGAGGAAGCCCTAAACCACCCCGAGCCAAGTGGAATTGGTCTTGATTCACTTGCTCTTGACTTTTGGACCCTCATCCAAAAGGCCGCAATTGTTTTGATGCGGGAAAAGCACAATGTTTTCTCGGCGTTTGATCTTACCCGTTTGCTCCTTCCCGGTGATTTTCACTTTGGCAGACGGGTCGCTGTATGGGCCCATTCCTGTTGCTCACTTTAAAGATGTTAGCATGTTGGTTTATGTCTAAAACAGAGTTTTTTACCCAAGGGAAGTCTGTACACCAACAGCTCATTTTCTCTAACCATTCTCTCTTCTAAGGTTCACAGACACACCATGCTCATATTTATGTCTGTTAATGAGGTTGACTCCAGCCCTTTATGTTTTCACACTTCTTAGCACAAGCAAAGGCCTTTAAAAATCCACAAGGAATAGAGATCTGATCCTTTCAGAAGAGAAACAGGTGAAGCACTCTCTGCGCAAGTATGCATGCTAGTAGGTGTTTTAAGAAGGTAAAAACTACCCCCAAAATAAATGGTGGAGTTGACTTGAAACATTAGATAAAGAAATTAGCACAACTGTGGGAAACATGGAGAATCTGTTTCCAGAAATGAACCGTATTAAAGTCTGAAAGTGTTAACAAATGTTACGAGGAATGCAGGCGATCCTGAAGGAGTAGGTAAAGCCCTTGGAGAGATTTTTGGCGTAGTAGCAGCAGTCAGCGATGTCAGCAGCAAGAGTCGTCCACTCCCCATCTTAGCCAAGAAAGAGAGAAAAAGAGGGGTTTTTGTTTTGGTTTGGTTTTTTTTGTTTGTTTTGTTTTGGGGGTTTGTGTTTTTCTTTTTTTTTCCCCCCATCAACTTTGCTCATGTATTGGGAATATGGAAAAACAGTGGAATCTCTTACAGTGAAGGAAAAATTGACTTGCTGTGGCCAATGTTTGTGCATGGTGCCACTCGCTGTACGTGTGCCAAACTCCTCTCTTCTGAAATCGGCTGGTTTGCATCTAATCAGTCCGAGCTGTGGCAATATCATTTCAGAGGAATGGTGCAACTTTCTTGTATAGTTTCTGTTTATCTAATGCATACCACCAAGATCTAATGCAAATACACATCAAGAACTCCAAACAGAAGCCTAGAAAAATCACTGGTGGTTTTTTTTTGTTTTTTTTTTTTTTCCTTTGGCCCTATCTTCAATCCAATTGAAACCATGAGGTGCAGGATTTCAGAACAGAACTATCCACTAACACCCTCCCAGCAAACCCCACGAACCGGGGCCAGGTTCACTCAGCTTTTCCGAAACTCGAGTGATTTCTCAAGGAATTGAAATTGTAAGTTTGTCCTGGATTCATATTCATGGGACTAAGGTGTGAAATAGAAAATCACCGCTAAACATCTCATGGTCGTTCATTCCACATGATGCTGTGCCCCATACTTTGCCATTGCTGAACTCAATTCCCTGAGACTGTCTGGGATTAAACCCATCCTGTCATTCAAATAAACACGTGCAGAGAGCCTCAAACCACAGGATGAGCAATAATTCTCTGCCCAAAACAAGGGCATCAATGACTTTGCAGGGTGCGGGTTGAATTAGGGGGAGGTGTATGTGTAAGAAGGGGCAGATGCAGCTCAGAAACAGAGAAAAGCGTCTGCAGAAGCAGCGTGCAAAAGCCTACTGTCAAATAAGATAAAACAAGGAACTTTTTTCTGCATATCTTAATCCTCCTGCGTTCAGGAAAGCAGGAATTTGCGTGTTCCTGCCAGATGCGCAGAATGCAATGGAAGATAGTAGATGCTGTCTCCTGTTTTTCTTCCTAATTGGAAAAATTTGTGTTTGTATCCTCCCCAAAGTCTCACAGTTGTGTCGAAAGGAGTAAGAATAAAGCAAACTGTGTTGGAGGAAAAGTGACTGCCATCAACTCCAGAGTGAAAAGGGAGAAAGCTGCTGCCCGTGCTTGTGCTAATCCAGAAAGAAGTGCGTGTGTGTTGAGAGAATTAAAAGAAGGAACACGGTGCAGCCGAATCCAAAGGGCTGTGTATGTGCGACTGCAGTAGAAAATACTCTCAGGAGCAGCATTCATAACACTAACAGCAAAAGCAGTCCCGAGAGAAACAGAACAGGCTTGGGGATTTGATTCAAAGTTGATGGAATTAAACGAGAAAACATCCACTGACTTCATCAGGCCCTGGACCAAGCCTTGGAAGAGAACATCAAAGGGATGATGCAGTTTTGCCAAACTTCTGTCATCTCCTCCGGGCTCTTTGCCCTAAGCTTCCTGCCCAAGCCATGGGAATGGAAAGCAGGGCTGCCTGGCAGGGGGTGAATTGCCTTTTTGATGGACCATCTTACTCCACAGACTGCAGAGAAAGCCTGGGTGGGGGATGATACCGTCTGCCGATCGTTTTTGCGGGGCATTATTAGTGCCTAATGTTGTCAAACTGTAATTTGAGAGGATTACTCAGGACTGCGTATCTGGCACCAGCCACACATATTCTTCTGTAGCTGTTCACTTTTTGGTCACGGCTTCCATGCCAACTACTTTGATTCACACTTTAGCAAAGCCTTTGTACAAGCACACGTATTCCCGGCTGATTTAGCCAGCACGACATCACACTTTGAGATGGCTAAACGATGGCGGTATGAATTTCATTCCTAACTTTAAACAAGAGAGCTAAAATGAGGCTGAATATGAATGTTTCTGAATAAAAATCAGATATCCAGCTGGTGGAGAAATCATACAAATGAGGATGGTCCACTTTACCTTCGCTCTTGCACTGGACAGTGTAATGGACAGGGATGTTGGTTTCCACTGGTTTCCAGACCACCTGCACTCCATCCTCATAGACCTCCACGATGTCAGGGGGTGGAGGGCCGGGAGGAATCTCTGTCGAGAGGAGGCACAAACCCCAGTGACTGTTAGCAAAAGCACCTGTCCTGGTTTGAGGTAAAACAGGACCGATTTTATTCAGTATCTTTGCTTCTCAGTTGGGCCTCTTCTAACTACTGACATTAACAGCATATTGTGCCGATAACGTTCACTCTCAGCGTGATCAGACCTACGTTTATAGCTGATGCCCAGGGATGGTGTGCAGAGAGGCTCTGCTTATACTTATTGCTATAACACCCAAGGGCAACCAACCTTGTTATTTGCCCTGTTGGAGGGTTGGAAGTGGAAAAGCATAGTGGGGTCCCACCTGCAAGGAGGAGCGGACAGGACAGGTGACCCAAAACTGACCAACGGGGTATTCCATCCCATCTGCCTTATGCGCAATATAAAAGCTGAGGGATCAAAGGGTCAGCTCTCTTTCTTCAATGGTCAACGTCTGAGGAGGACTCAGTTCATCTGCCTGTGATCCCGATCCTGAATGCAGATCCGGAATCCAGTTCCCGTCTGTCACTAGGTCCAGCCTGGGACTGCCCCAGTGCCAGCCTGTGTCATGATTGTCATCTCAGGAGCTTGATACGGTTTTGTATATATTTAATTATTTCTTTTTATTTTGTTATTAATATTTCGTTAAAGTAGTTTAGTTCCTTCTAAACTCATACATCTCTTTTCCTCCTCTGCCTCTGTCTTTGAAGAGGGGTAGAGGGGAGATTCTGTCGGTCCCATCTGGGATCCCCCAGGTCCCCAGTAGCCGATTTGGCCTAAACCACGACAGTGCCACTGTGCCCCCCACCCACCCCTAGTGGAACAGCAATTTAACCGTGGCTAATTTAAACCCATTATTAAGATTTTGAAGTCTGGTTCTGGAACTACATGGTTACTGGAGTGGCTCTGAATCCAGGAGAGAGACTAAAGAGTGAAGAAGAGGGAATGAACCCTGCGAAATGTGCCACGGAACCAGACAGCAAAGGCTGTGGCTGTGGACTAGAGCAGGCAAGGGAGACGTTGTCCTCTGAACCTGTCTGCAGAAATCTCACCTCACAGCTATTTACAGGTCACATTTTTTGGGCAGAAGTACTTGTAATACCTACTTCTTCTCTTACCTGCTTTTCTTATGATGCAGGAGGTGGATGCTGAGCCCAGAGAGTTTGTGGCCACGCAGGTGTAAATACCAAAATCATCAGCGCTAACAGAGAGAATGGTTAACAGCTGGAAGTTTTTGAGTGTGGCTGAGATGAGGATCCGGCTGCTGCTGTGGACAGGTATCCCATCTGAAAAGTGGAAGATAGGAGAGATAAAGTACCCTGCACATTTATACCGAGGTGCCCCAAACCCTCCCTGCACCCCTGTCCCAGAGGTCAGGGACTCCCTAGAGCAATGCCAACGTCACCTCTGAACCACTCGATGTGCAGGGAGGAGTGAGCCACTGTCCGGCACGACAGGGTCACGCACTGTCCGACGGCAGCAGCTTGATCGATGAGCTCCTCAACGAATGAAGGTGCTGCAAAGAAGAGGAAAAACAGCAATTCAGAGTGGCCAGGAGCACTTAATGGAAAATAAGTGCACGCAGGACATCAGAAAGCATTTGTAATTGGTTCAAGAACATTTCTGGTTCATGCTCTGGCATTCCTTTGACCAGTGGTTTGGAGAATCCCCTGGGCATTGGGCACGCAGGTGCAGGAGGCCCATTCACAGAATCACAGGCCGGTCAGGGTTGGAAAGGACCTCTGGAGATCATCCAGTCCAACCCCGCTGCCAGAGCAGGGGCACCCAGAGCAGGTTGCACAGGAACACATCCAGGTGGGTTTTGAACATCTCCAGAGAAGGAGACTCCCCCACCTCTCTGGGCAGCCTGTGCCAGTGCTCTGCCACCCTCAAAGGAAAGAACTTTTTCCTCATGTTGAGATGGAATTTCTTGTGTTCCAGCTTGTGCCTGTTGCCCCTTGTCCTGTCACCACTGAAAAGAGCCTGGCCCCATCCTCTTGACACCCGCCCTTTAGATTCAGCCCCATGGATGCAGTGGGACTGCTCCTACATGATAATCCAGATGGATCTTGGAAGGTTCATGGGGAACATGCGCATTGCCCAGCCCTGCTGGTACAGCTAAGGCAGCAGAACAGCTCAGAGGAGAGAGATCACGTCACAGTAAGAGCTTTCTTCTTGCCTAGCTTAAATGTGGGGGCAAAACATGATGGTATTTCAAAGACGAGGGGATCAGATCAAGACAACACAAGAAGAGATAAAAGATGGATATGGAAGGAGGAAAAAAGCCGTGGAGCATCAAATCTGCTGCTGTCTCCAAGGGAAAGGTTTTCTTCTGTGTTTCTCCAGGACTTTTTCTCCACAGTGCCCAGTAGCTCCCAGCCTCACACTCCCACCCGTCCCAGCGCATGGCTGGGCTCTGCTGTACTGGGGCATTAACGTCACCTCAGAAAATGCTTCTGCTGGAGTCGAGGGGAAACTTGCCCGGGACAAAAGCGAGTTCGGCTTTACTGCCATACCATTTGGGGCTGTCCCACCATTTTTCATTTCACAGCAGCGTGTCTGTCCCTTACACATGTAGGCGGGACTGGAGTCGGGGAGCGCACAATTCCCTGCTTCTGCCGTCCCACCCTTGGATACTCCGTTTCTTCTCTTTCTAGCTTACAAATGTTATTCCTCTGTGGTGGTTTCCTAGAATGGCTCCAATTTGCAAGCAATGCCAAGACAAGACAGTTTTAGAAAGGACAGTAGTTATGAAGTAAACAGAGCAGACTGTCTCATATTGCGTGAGTTGGTACAGGTCAGCTCAAGACAATCACAGAATCACAGACTGGTCAGGGTTGGAAGGGACCTCTGGAGCTCCCCCAGTCCCACCCCCTGCCAGAGCAGCATCACCTACAGCAGTTGCACAGGACGGCGTCCAGGTGGGTTTGGAGTGTCTCCAGAGTGGGAGACTCCCCCACCTCTCTGGGCAGCCTGTGCCACTGCTCTGCCACCCTCACAGCAAAGAACTTTTTCCTCATGTTAAGATGGAAGTTCCTATGCTCAAGCTTGTGCCCATTCCCTCTTGTCCTGTCACTGGGCACCACTGAAAAAAGACTGCTCCCACCCCCCTGGCACCCTCCCGTTAAGGATTTATAAGCATTGATAAGATCCCCCCTCAGTCGTCTTTTCTCCAGACTAAAAAGCCCCAAGTCCCTCAGCCTTTCCTAGTAAGAGAGATGCACCAGTCCCCTCATCATCTTCGTAGCCTGTTGCTGGACCCTCTCCAGCAGTTCCCTGTCCTTCTTGAACTGGAGAGCCCAGAACTGGACACACTGCTCCAGATGTGGCCTCACCAGGGCAGAGCAGAGGGGGAGGATGAGCTCCCTCGACCTGCTGGCCACAGTCTTCTTTATTTCCACAGAGCTGCTCTCCAGCAGGTCAGCCCCCAACCTGTACTGATGCATGGGGTTATTCCTCCCCAAATGCAGTACCTACACTTGCCCTTGTTGAATTTCATAAGGTTCCTCTCTGCCCAACTCTCCAGCCTGTCCAGGTCACACTGTATGGCGGCACAGCCTTCTGGCGTGTTGGCCACTCCTCCCAGTTTTGTGTCATCAGTAAACTTGCTGATGGTAATCAGCAGACAATCAGTGTAAGACAATCATTGCAGATCCATCCTTAGAAACTACCCTTAATCAGCACTGTCATATTCATTAGCGATACTTCACGATAAAACTAACTGATGACTTAAGTAATAGTAATATGGTCTAGTGGGAGGTGTCCCTGCCCATGGCAGGGGGGTTGGAACTCGACGATCTTCAAGGTCCCTTCCAACCTAAACCATTCTGTGATTCTATGATAATACCTTTCTCCTTTGGCATGAGGCTTGAGAACTTGAATGAAGAGAGTCCCGATTTCCTCTTCAGAGATCCTTCAGCCCCTGTTAACAGCTCTTTTTCTACTGCCTCACTTCCCAGCTGGCCAAACTCTGTTTTGAAGAAAGGATGAGAAGTCATTCAAGGCTGCCCTTCTCCCTGTGGCATCCATTTACAGCAGACAGTTCTGCCATTCGCACGTAAATAGCTCTACAGTCACAGGTTTCCTTATTAACGAGCCTTCAGTCAACAGGGAAGGCTGTGACAGCTATTGCAAACAGAATGATGTCCTGGAAGAACAGGGCATATCGAGGGATGGCAGAGAAGAAAAGGACAGATTCTCTTGTCCTGTGGCACCAACTTAGGTAGCCAGGGTGACTCCACCAACTTCTCCCCAGCACTTTCGCTTTAAAGGTTTGCCACAGTCAGATGATAACTGCAGAAGAAACTGCAGCAAGGAAAGCTTCATCCCACCCTGATTTGCTTTACTGCAAACTCAGAGAGGGGAATTTAAGCCGCTTCCATCAGCAGATTAACCCAGCTGACTCCGCACTGAAGTGAGCCAGTGACAGAGAGATATTGGTGATGACAGGGAATTTCATAACCTGCCACTGCCCGTTTTGCAATCAGTGTCTAACCACGGCCTCAGACATGTGGGGGGAAAGGAAAAGGCAGATTTAGCAGAGCTCAGTTATAGCAGTAAATCTCTGAAGGCACCGAGTAAAATAATTACCTTCCTCTGCCTCTGGCTCAGGAGATGTCTTTCCTTTTAGGATTCTTGAAATATGGGCAACAGAAGCTTTTACTTTCTTCTTCAGACTCTGCTCCACTGACTGCTCCACTGAATGAGACCTTGCGTACGGCTTAAAGAGTCCTGGTTTGTTGTAGAAGGAGCTTTTCTGCTTACCACTGGAGTCCTTTTGGGGGCCATACATTTCCTTATGACTCTCTGACCCTTTCCCCGTGGCCAATAAGTTTGTTGCCTTTGAATCTTCAGATATTTCCAAACGGTTCTTCCTGTTCTTGTGCTCTGCTTCTTCTCTGATGCACAGTCTTTTATCCTTATGCAAATGTCCCGCAGGAGGTGACCTTGCCCTTTCACCAAAAGGTATAAACCTTCTACCGGTTGGTTTGGGTGAAGGCTTCTTATAGTTGAGAAATTCAAATGGAAAATAGACGATGTCATACAAGTCAGAGAAATTCAAGTAGGCAGGCTCTACCTCTGATATGTCAAATTTTGGAGTTCCACTGCCAAGACTGGGTGTTTCATCCGACAAGTCTTTGATTTTCACTAAAGAAACTTCTGGGTGTTTACCAGTGTCCTTGCTCACTGACACTTGACTGGGTCTTTTCCCAGCGTCCAAGCTCTCTGTTGAGGAAACGCTCAATTGACTGGAAGTGGGGCTCTCAAACGCTAAGTCCTCCAGATGCTCACATTCATGAGGAACCGTCTGTGCTCCCTGCCTTTCCAGTCCTACTGACTCCTCACCCGTGGCAGGATGGGCTTCTGCAAGGTTATCCAGCTCAGAGATGTCTCCTCTTTGACCCCCTTGTACAGAAGGGAAGGAGGTGTCTGTGGGTGCTTGGCTACCGGGGCCTTTGTAGAACATCTCTGTGGGAGGAGAGATGTGCTTTCTGCATCTCTCCTCACCAGAAACTGACTCTGCCCAAACATTCATCTCTTCAGAGAGGGAAACCATCTCATCCACTAAGCCCTCCAGCACAGCAGACTCCTCATCACTGTAAAAAGAAGACCTGTGATGTGAGAGCTCCTGACTTTGATCCCTGCGGAGGGATGGCGGGACAGTTTTTCCAGCATCACAGCTTCCGCTTTCTAAGGCAATACCTCTACCTTCACCATAAACCTTTGGATGTTCCTCATATTCTACCTCGTAGACTGAAGCTGGAGCAACTTCTGGTCGTGAAGCAGTTAAGACACCTGGAGGTCCACCCTCCGGAACAGCAGAAACTCTGCCACTGGGATGAGCAGCCCTGTGTTGCTCAAACATGTCGTGTCCAGCCTTGGGGAAAGGAGCAGGCATAGTCTGTCCAGCTGGTCGGCTTCCGCTTGCTGTCACAACAGATTTCACCTCACTGCGAAGCGATGCCTTTGGATGTTCTTGCTCTTTGCTATCACAGACTGGAGGGAGGCCAGTATCTTGGGAAGACACAGTTCTAGCTGGGGCTCTGGTCCCCAGAACAGCAGGCACCATGCCACTGCCTTCAGAAACCTTCTGGGGTTCAGCTCCCTCGATTTCAGCCTCATGGGCCAAACTGGGAACAACCCCTGCGACAGCTGAGCTTTCGCTCCTCAGAGCAGCAGACCTCTCCTTGCTATGAGCTGGCCATTCCTCGTCAGCCTGCCATGCTCCATCGGAGACTGACGTTGGCATTGGTTTTGGTGGTGGGACTTTGGGAACAATGAGATGCTCTCCCTTCAGGATGGCTGATGCCGTGTCTGTGTGAACAGGAGCCCTCTTGTGCGCTTGGCTTTCACCATCATGGGCTGAAGGTGGAGTGATTCCTCTAATACCCGATCCTTCATCTTCTAGGACAGCAGATCTCACCTCTTTATAGGTCTTCAGCTTCTGATGAGCACCGTCATCAGCTGTGTGCAGAGCAGGTAGAGTACCTGGCTGTTTGCTCACCGAGACTGTAGTTGCTGGAACATTTTTACCAGGAAGTTCCTGACTTTTGTCTTTACATACTGGAAGCGAATCGTTTTCTGTTTGTGGGCCTGTTAAAACAGCAGAGCTTTCGGGCTCCATGAGATCAGATCTGGCAACACTATGAGTAGAAGTCTTCTCATGTGAATGCTTCTGCCTTTTGTCTTTCCAAGGGGGAACTGGGGCTGCCCTTTTGGTAAGCAAGCTTCCACCTTTTAGATCCGGATGGATGTCGGTACTGTGGGGCAGATACACACCTCCTGTACCTGCAGGGACCGACTTGGAGGTGGTCTCCGGCTGCTTGAGAGCTGAAATGGACTCTTTGCCCTCCTGAAGAGCAGCATCAGAGGCACCACCAGTGGAAGACTTAGCCTCCGTGCTTTCATGTCTTTCAGCTGCTGATGCAGTTACATCTGAGCACTGGGCAGTTAGAATGCAGCTTTTGCCTTCCAAATTTTCAGCTTCCTCCTCAGTGTAAGTTGCTTTTGACTTCTTCAGTAGATGTTTCCTATTCTCACTCCTGTGAGGTGACACTGGAAGTCTCTCTAGCTGTTGCACAGAAACAGCCGGGCACCCATTACCCTCACATTGCGTGGAAGGAGGGGGCTGCTCTTCTGAACAATCCTTGCTGGCTCTCCTAAAGTCCTCTCGCTTCGAAGTATCTACAGAACATCCCTTGCCGGGCCCCGCAGAAATGTTACAGTGGTCACTGCCTTCAGGGCAACTTTCCTGTGAGAGTATATCACAATCTTCTTCCAAAATATCTTGTTCCCTCACTGATCTTGAGGCTCTCAGCCTGTAGTCATCCAGGGAACGGCTTCGGCTGGCACCAGAAATGGCAGGATGTGGTGGTTTCCTTGCAGTGTCAAATGAAGCTGATTTGGTCAAGGAACCAAGCAGACTTTCCCTGTGATCATCTCCATCATCAGACTTTCCTTCTTCTTCTTCCAGTTCAAACTGCTCTAGAAGGGGTTCACGGAGACCACTAAGGGGCACCTTCGAATATCCAGCTTTCCGGAAAGTCCTTCTGGCTCTGTCCAGGTGCCTTCTGAACTCCCTGCCTGGCGAAGAAGGTCCCCTTGCAGGTAGCTCAGCTGCTTGGCTGTAGAAAGTGCTTTTAATGACACTCTGTCTGGGAACACAGGCAGATGGCTTTTCTGTCCCATCCCCAGCCTTTTCAGTTCTGTCCTTATCAGATAAAAATATGTCTGTTCTTTCTTTCTGACGTAGGTGCGATGCGCTTTCTGTGGAAGTCCTCACTGATGAAAGCTCAGCAGCACCGCTTCTTCGGGACTGCTCTGCTCTTTCGTCTCGAAGTCTGGGATGGAGCCCCTCCTCTTTCTCCTTGGAGATACTTGCCATAAGCTCTTTGCTTTCTGTAGGTGATTTGTCCCCCACCTCAGCTTTCATTGAAGCATACTTCCTCCTCATGGGTTTTACCGGAGGGAGTGAGATTTTGGAGTGCTTTTCTTCACTCGCATGTTTTGGAGGCTCCTGGTGGCTTGGTACATCAAATACGGACAAGTGAAGTTCGGGTGTGGAGCCAAAGTGCCTCTTCTTGGGGAAATGCGAGTTCTCATTGTCTGAAGAGGAGCCGCTGGTACTGGACGAAGTGCTTTCTTCAATAAGATGTCGGGAGATGGCCAGGGAGGTGTTATCGTGAGTCCTTTCTAGGATTTCTGGGATAGACCGCATTACCAGTATGGATTTATAGCACATCAGAGACCGCTGGAAAACAACCCAAAATATAGCACAATCAGATGGAAACATGGTAGGACTGTGGTAAAGCAAGCATACCGAAATGAACCTCTGCTCTCTTAAATGCCATACATACTAGTTTAATAACACATTGTCATCCTTTTTTTGACATATCGTCAATCCAGGCTTTATTTGCTCTCCAAACCTTCCTCTCCTCTCATTCACAGAGGTGAAACTATCCCGACTTCAGGGGACATACTTGCTGTTGTGAATGGGGAAGCAAGACCCCGCCTGAGATTTTCAAAGACAATGTGTCCACTCAAAGCAGATGGAAAAGGAGTTTTTAATGGAACACTCCTAGCTGGAGTGAACGGCATTAAATCTGTCCACTGCAGTATGACCTACAGTGACTTAGGCCAAGAGAAGACCTCCCATACTGTAGGCAGCAGGATTTGTCTACCCTAACTTCTACCCTGTGAGACATCTCAGTTGAAGTTGAGCATTTGGCCTCCCCTTACAGCCAACACAGAGAAACAGGCATCTGCAGAAGGCAATCAACCTGACCCTTTTAGAGAACTTCAGGAAAAGAAGAGTCTTCTTGGGACCTGCCTATAATTCCATTCCAATTGCAAAGGCAGCTGAGGGTACCGAACTTCGACACAACCATGTGTCTTACAGGCACTTGCGTTAGACCAGATGATTTCCAGGCAGCAAAAGCCTAGGTAATTTATTTCTGCCACATCCATTGACCACTCTCTCCTCATTTAGTCAAGCTGAGATCTCTGCTGTGCCGCTGACCTAGACCAATAGACTTTAAAAGATGCAATTATAATTACAAATATGTGTAACTAAAAAGAACCAATGTTGATTAAGGCCAACTCACCTGCCACTTGCTCCGAGCCACAATGAATTTGAGCTGCTTGGTGTTAATGAAATGAGCTGCTTCGAGGGGGAGATTATGCTGCCAGGTGGAATGAGAGGAAAATAATTGGTTAAAAAATCCTGACTTCATTTCCTGAGAACTTTTTTTTTAGGATTCCCTCCTTCTAGAATTGTTTAATTTAGGGAAGTTAGAATAGACCAAATGCTACAATCCCCTCATGGCTAAATTGTAGATAATCTCAGTTTTTCAGCAATAAAAGCAAGCCCTGTTCAATGCATGTCATTAAATTCTTTTTTTTTTTTTTCTAATTTTTCTTCTCTTCTTAGCAATTTAAGGCATTGGAATATAAACCATAAATTTGCTCTGTAAAGCCACAACTTCCTTCAATTTCCATTCCACACAGATGTGTTATATCTGCTCACGTCAGTAGTAATCTTTGTCTTTTGACAGGAAAGACATCTTGGCGTGTAAACACCAATGTGTCTCCTCTTTGTGGAGAGCCATTCCTGAGCTCTCTGTATGACAGAAAGTAGGAGACCAAGATGACAAATAAACAAGCAAATAATATCAAGCAGTTTTAAGAGCTGCCCCTCCAAAGGTCTCTTCCAACCTCAATATTTTTAATCATAAAATGGAATTTCCATCATTAGGTTGGAAGTGACCTTGAAGATCATCGAGTTCCACCCCCCTGCCATGGGCAGGGACACCTCCCACCAGCCCAGGTTGCTCCAAGCCCCGTCCAACCTGGCCTTGAACACCTCCAGGGATGGGGCCTCAACAACCTCTCTGGCAACCTGGTCCAGTGCCTCACCACCCTTAAAGTGAAAAATTTCTTCCTAATATCTAATCTAAACCTGCCCTCTTCCAGTTTGAAGCCATTGCCCCTCATCCTATCACTACATGCCCTTGGAAAAAGTCCTTCCCCAGCTCTCCTGTAGGCCCCCTTTAGGTACTGGAAGGCCACAAGGTCTCCCCGGAGCCTTCTCTTCTCCAGGCTGAACAACCCCACTCTCTCAGCCTCTTCTCATAGGAGAGGTGCTCCAGCCCTCGGATCATCTTTGTGGCTCTCCTCTGGACATGCTCCAGCAGGTCCCTGTCCTTCTTATGTTGGGGACTCTAGAGCTGGATGCAGTACTCCAGGTGGGGTCTCACAAGAGTGGAGTAGAGAGGCAATGACTCTAATAAATGAACTAATTAATGACTCTCAGAAAGAACCAAGACAAACTTACCATGAACCACTTGTGGGAAAGACAGTCCAAAGCACTGGGCCTGGCTCTGATAAGAGAAAAGATCACTGTTTTAGAAGCGTGTCCCTTCCAACAGCAACCACAAGATCTCCCTGAAGGTCCCTGCTTCACGTGGACACATGCATACACTTTTGTGTATGTCCTCAGGCTGCTGCTTTAGAGCTGAGAAGCCAAACGGACAGACAGGGGCTTTCAACCCAAGGCTTCCTTCCCTTGAGGTGAACCGATCCTTCTTTTTCAGTCTGGGACTCCCTGCAGATCCTCATCCATGGCACTCTGCAGGGAGCCTATCCAAGGGCGTTGAGAGCAGCCGTAAGACCACTGCTCCTGAAAAACCCTAAGACTTTGACTCTTTAGGTGGCCACAGCAAAAATAGCTTTGGCAGCAGGCAGAAAGAACAGAAATGAAATTAAAAAGCAAGCGCCTGTGAACCTGCCTCCAAGCTGCTTTGTGTACTTGCAATTGCTTAATGAATGCGGTTAATATTATCTAATTCTCACATAACTCCCTCCTTACCAGTCCTTGCTCTTCCCACTTCTCGATGCCATTTCAGAAACTCATCTGCCCAGAGGGGTCAGGGAGTAATGACATTACCATACCAGAAACGGGCCGATTTGGCAAAATACCAAGTTGGCTTTTGGGTAATGAGGAATAATAAAGGAGAATTAGGGCATAACGCACCACATCTCCCTCAGCTTTCTGCTGTTCAAAACAACCGCAGCTCTGATGAGCTGAGATCCGCCTGCTGAGCCACCGACACCTTTGCGCGCTGGTTGCGGAGGAAACACTAAAGTGCACTCACTTGGGGTGCTGCTGCAGGATCCCTTTTATAAAGTCCTTCGCGTCTTCACTCAAGTGAACAAAATCAGGAACGGTCCATGAAATTTCCCCGTTCTGGATATTTAGAAGGGTTCCTCTGTCGTTCTCCCCAGCAAAAGGAGACTTGCACGTTAGGCTTGTTTGTTGAACACCATAAAATAAAAGGAGACAGACTTTAGGCTTTTGTTCGCTGTTCAAATGACAGAAGCACAAACGCTGACATGGGGCTTAAAAATGTGCAAGAGATGCCACGCGTGGGACTCGCTTGTGAGCAGTGCGTCCACCAAGAGAGCATCTTTCACCCCACACGGCACTTAACTGAATCATTTATCCGCGTTTCACAGAAGAGGAATTAAGGGTTTGATTTTGCACAGCTACGGTAGGGCGTTGGCTAAAAGAGGCAAGGAGAAGACCGAACCTCATCCACCGCTCTCATCCCTAACTGCAAGGAGAGCAGCTGGCAGGTCTTCACGCAGGGACAACGACCAAAGCCCTGGGCAACCAGGAAAGAGAGGGTAAAGGTGAAGATCACAAGAGAAATCGCCCTCGTTATAGAAGGACTCAATGCTTCACTCGAATCCCTCACCTGAAGGTATCAGAGGGCTTTGACTGAACAAAGGGATATTGAATGAGTCTTTCCAAGAAGATTTATTTACCTTAAATACGTGATGACACCAACAGCCCTGAGGAGAAAGGGAACGCAAATGTCAGGCATTCGTCGCTGTTTGTCCTTTCTTCTCGAGCACGCAACCCCTTTTCCTGCCACCAGACACCCCTACCGCAGTGAGATCACCACCTTCTCCCCACATTTCTGAGGAAAATAAATCCCAAGAGCTACGGCTTTCACCCTTCAATTTTTTTACTTTCGGCATTTTTTATAATTGCTGTCCAGTAATCCTCCATTTTTAAAGCACGGACAGAGGGGAAGAATCAAAATACTCTTTTTGGAGCTTGTTTGCCTTTTCTAGAAAGCCGCTTAGGATCATCCTCCCTAGTTGCTGCTTCTAAGAAAGATCAAATTCGCTAAGATGCTCCTTTGCATTAATTAGCCGTCAGAGTTCAATTATGGTTGAACAAAACAGACAGAAGGAGCTTTGAAGAGCCCTGACGGGCTTTGGATTCTCAGTGTTCACTTTCAATTTCCTGTATTATTATCACTACTCCATTTGCTTATTAACAATAAATGGAAATTGAGGCCGTCTGGGGCAAAAGCTTTGTAGAAAGGTGACAGGTTACCAGATATCGGTTGCTTTTGACACTGGTGACTGAGAAACAATTTCTGGGGCGACAAACTCCGGAGACCCGTATTTGCTGAACTGAGGCTCAAAGGGAGTGATCTTCTGAGCAAATCCAAAGTCACACAGCTTAAGGTCTTCCCTTTCCGGATAAACCATGAGGATATTGAGCGGCTAGCAAAGGAAATAAAATAAAAGGGAGAAACTTTTCTTGAAAGCAGGCAATATTTTCAGTTGTGAGAATAGTTCAAATAGAGAATGCCAATTCCCCGACCAACAAGAGGCTATGACACGCTGGACCTGCTGTTGCACATTACCTTAATGTCCAAATGAAGGATGTTGTTGTCGTGAAGATATTTGATTCCTTCCAAAATTTGCCTGATATACAATTTGACCTAAAAAATAAATCAATTATTAAACAATTATTAAACACTAATAGTAAATAAGAGGGTCCCCGATTCTGCCAACATTTTTAATATATGAGAGAGGGAGAGATTGATCTAGAAAGACTTTTAAAACTAGAATGAACTTCTTATATTAGTCATGCAATCGAAATAAGATGTGAACCAAACGTTACCCCATGGAGTGAAGCTGTTCCTCGTGTGTGCCCCGCTGGAGCCTTCTACATGAGAAAAAGCCCTTACTTTTAAAAAACACAACCCTACAAACGCACAAAAAAGAGATACAGAAATGCTCAAGTTTGATAAAACTCCTCCACTGTCTAATTGATCGAACTCAGACTCAGCTCTGGCTTGGTGTAAATCAGGCAAACTCATTTAAACCACAAATGCATTTTAAAACTATGTTGTAAATCTGTTTTCTTGACTGCGTGTAGATAAATCCGACTATGACTGAACCAGGAGTGCAGATTTACAGCTAGCTTGAGCTTTGGAACCTTGTCTACCTTTGACATTTTGTAGTGTTAGCTGACATCTGATCTTTAAAGGTCCCTTCCAACCCAGAGCATTCAATGATTCTATGGTATTTCCCTCTGAGTATTTCTAAGAAAAATCAGTTTTACCTTTAAATACGGGACACCTGGCTACTAGATGGGAGATGTGAACCATTTGGAACTTTGAGCACCAAGGATCTCCAAAAATGCCTTAGAAACCATAATTTCAGCCCTTGGTTTGGAGACTGAAAGGGAGTGGATAGAAGTACAGTTGTGATGGGACAAAGTATTGAACAAGTGAAGATACAGGAGCTCCAGGTGACAGATAGCAAAGAAAAGATGATAATAGAGCAAATATCACTTGTATAAAGCTGAATCATAGCATCATAGAGTGGTTTAGGTTGGAAGGGACCTTGAAGAACATAGAGTTCCAACCACCCTGCCATGGGCAGGAACACCTTCCGCAAGACCAGATTGCTCAAAGCCCCATCCAACGTGGCTGTGCTGGTGGTCAAAACCACTGCCTGTTTCTAGTTATTCCCCGAAGAAACTCAGCTCAGTAATAAAAGCTGATGGGAACACATTTTAAAGGCTGATTCTGTTTTCACAGATTATCACTGGTTCAAAGACATTCCTCATATTCACAAAGGAAAATGGAAGGTCCTCTGGTGGTACCCGCCAACTCTGGACTTTCAAATGAGAAAGAAAGATTACCTCTGCTTCAGTGACAACGCTCTTCTTGAATAAACGGTCGAGCAGCTCTTCGTTGGAGCATCTGGCAACGGCATTAAGGCAAAACAGAACTACAGTTAAACACTTATTTTCACTTTGTAACTACCTCTATCCTGACAACAGCGCAGAATTCACCAGGTGATCCCCGGTAATGTGATGCGCATGCAATTCATTAAAATCTCTGTTGCAGAAATGCAATAGAATTGGGCTGCTCTAAACCTGTGCTCCCTATGCGCAGGAGCATGGAATTGCTTGTGCCAAAATCTGCCTGTTGGTTATGGGATTTTCTGCTCTGCCCTGCATTTTCCCAGTGCTCACCCAGGCTGGACCTCGTGGAAACGGAGTCCTTCACTTCCAGACATTTCAGAAAAGAGATTTTGGTGCTTAATAACTCATTCGCACTTGTCAATACAAGTATCATCATTTTTCCCAAACCAGCAGAAACATAGTACTTCAGTAAGGAGCTCACAGAGCTATCCTGTCCTGCAGTGCAGAGAACAATTGTGCACTCAGGCAAAACGTAAAAATGTGTAATGGCTTCGTTATTTAAACAATGAGCTCTGCCCCGTACTTCCCACCCTCCTCAGAGAAGCAGCACAGAAAAGGATACAACTCCAGAATCAAAATCAGTGTTTTCCGCGTTTCAAACTGATCCAGGAGCCTGGTAATCCTGTCATGGGACAGAGAGGCAAGAATATCCCTCTCTTGATGCGCTCGAGCCTTCGTTTTGCTTCGCAGAGGTATGAACTTGGCAGCACAAGACACTCTGTTCCCTTTGTGCACAACTCGTTTCACAAAACTGAAGCAGCCCCTGTGTAAAATCAGAGGACAAGCTCTGCTCAGACTTGGTTCAAAGCCCTCTGCGCAGCAGGTGTAGACCTTCCCACCTCCCAGCCTTTGACAGCTCCCCACTGCACAGAGCTTAAATTCTCCAACGCCAAAAGCTGATTTTCCTGAATGTGAGGTGCTATTGCCCTCTCCTGGTTGTCTCTAAAACTAAGCAGCGAGTTCACTTCAAGGGAAAAGCTGTTTCAGGTGATACAGCCTTGCGCTGAGAAAGGTCGATGCTCTTGGATCCCTTAGATGTGCACGGGGCTTGTCCCGACGTCGGTGTGGGGTTGTGATTTCCGAGGAGCCACACCTGGGCACCAATCCTGGTATTTTTTCTGGCTGGAGCTATTTGGACCTACGGGCTGTGTGGGCTCTCCCATCCTCCATCAGAAACCTCAAGGAAGTGTTTCCATCACCCCCGCGATGGGGTGACCTCCCACCTCTGCCAATACTTTCACCTTTTTCGAATTTCCCACAGCTGGGTCCACCTCTGCCTCTGGTTCCACACGCTCGGCAGCTCAGATGGGCAATTAGGTATTCTCCGTTTGTGATACTATAGACTTGGAAACTTCACCTACCTTCCAATCTCCTGCTTAACCTCATAAAGAGAATGGAGCTTTCTCCTGGTGGCCACTTTCTTTTCTGCTTGGTCTTTCTTAGCTTTGGAAATGAAGGAAAATATAAGTGTTAATCTTCAGACAACACTGCCTTCCCAATAGCATGCAAAGTTATTGCGGGACAATTTAAGGCAGGAAAAATTCCAGGCATCCTCTAAACATCTGCACAGAATTTAGTGGAGCTGTTTGATGACAGACCCTGCCAAAAGGAACTTTGGGGCTGTATCTTCATCTGACATAAATCAGAAGAGCTGAATGAAAGAGCAGAACACCACCAGAGACATGGCCCCAGTTATTTCTGTGGCCCATTGTATCAGATCATCGTATAGTCTGAAGCAGAGGAAAAAAAAATCTCATTTGTATGTATATGTGTAGGTCATTGGACCATTTGCCCTTATACTGGATCCTGCCATACTGGTAATATACAAACACTACACAGGAGCGCAGAGCAGATGCCATATGGGTACCAGGAGATGACTGCAACAGAGTTGAGATTGTTCAGCCTGGAGAAGAGGAGGCTCTGGGGAGACCTTAGAGCCCCTTCCAGTATCTGAAGGGCACCTACAGGAGAGCTGGAGAGGGACTTTTTACAAGGGCATGTAGTGATAGGACGAGGGGCAATGGCTTTAAACTGGAAGAGGGGAGATTTAGATTAGATATTAGGAAGAAATTTTTGACTGTGAGGGTGGTGAGCCCCTGGCCCAGGTTGCCCAGAGAAGCTGTGGCTGCCCCATCCCTGGAGGTGTTCAAGGCCAGGTTGGACGGGGCTTTGAGCAACCTGGGCTGGTGGGAGGTGTCCCAGCCCAGGGCACGGGGGTGGGACTGGATGGTCTTCAAGGTCCCTTCCAACTCTAACCATTCTATCATTCTATGATTCTACACATTGCAATGGCTGTGGGAGCAACCCCTGCAGCTGAAAGAACGACCTTACCTTCACGTACAATAAGCTCTGCTTTGCACAACACCTCCCCTCCTGCATTTTTGGCAACACAGGTGTAAACACCACCATCTTCTGAAACAGCGTTGTCCACAACTAAGAAATACGTTGTTCCTTCATTCCCTTGATGAAGCCTATCGCTCTCTGTCAGCAATGATGTGCCCTGAAAGAATGAAATGACATTTTGGCACCAGGAAAACCAAGACGGAAAGAGATGTTTCTTCTCTTCAAGAAACGAGATACAGGAGCAGAGCTACAACATAGACCTTTTAGACTAGCAAATCTCACAAACAAAATCCTGGCTGAAGAAGCCTCCCATGGGTAACTGTTTCTCTGCTTCCACACTATGCAGTAGCATTTTTGTTTCATAATCCATTGGTAGGAACACAGGCTCGGGAGGGATCACCAGGGCTGTGTGGTTTATTCTTCGGCTCTCCCAGTGCAGCATGCCTGGGCAGCCAGCTCAGGGAGCACGAGGATCAGCTACGTTGCTCCTGCTCAGTCTCCAGCTTGTGCTGGTACTTTTGCTGCTCCGTATATTCGTAAATGCTATGAATCAGTGACCTGGATGAAGGGATAGAGTGTACCATCAGCAAGTTTGCTGATGACACAAAACTGGGAGGGGTGGCTGACACACCAGAAGGCTGTGCCGCTGTACAGCGTGACCTGGACAGGCTGGAGGGTTGGGCAGAGAGAAACCTTATGAAGTTCGAGGGCAAGTGTAGGTACTGCATCTGGGGAGGAATAACCCCATGCATCAGTACAGGTTGGGGGCTGACCTGCTGGAGAGCAGCTCTGTGGAAAGGGACCTGGGAGTCCTGGTGGACAACAGGATGCCCACCAGCCAGCAATGTGCCCTGGTGGCCAAGAAGGCCAATGGCATCCTGGGGGGCATCAAGAAGAGTGTGGCCAGCAGGTCGAGGGAGCTCATCCTCCCCCTCTGCTCTGCCCTGGGGAGGCCACATCTGGAGCAGTGTGTCCCATTCTGGGCTCCCTGGGTCAAGAAGAACAGAGAACTGCTGGAGAGGGTCCAGCAAAGGGCTACGCAGATGATGAGGGGACTGGAGCATCTCTCTTACTAGGAAAGGCTGAGGGACTTGGGGCTTTTTAGTCTGGAGGAAAGACAACTGAGGGGGGATCTTATCAATGCTTATAAATCCTTAAAGGGAGGGTGCCAGGGGGGTGGGAACAGTCTTTTTTCAGTGGTGCCCAGTGACAGGACAAGAGGGAATGGGCACAAGCTTGACCATAGGAACTTCCATCTAAACGTGAGGAAAAAGTTCTTTGCTGTGAGGGTGGCAGAGCAGTGGCACAGGCTGCCCAGAGAGGTGGGGGAGTCTCCCACTCTGGAGCCATTCCAAACCCGCCTGGACGCGGTCCTGTGCAACTGCTGTAGGTGCCCCTGCTCTGGCAGGGGGTGGCACTGGGGGAGCTCCAGAGGTCCCTTCCAACCCTGACCAGTCTGATTCTGTGATTTTTAAAAGGACCTTATAAGACCGTCTGACTGGGCAGTAAAATGCTGGAGAAATGTATATAATACAGATACATGGAAAGTGATGCAACCCTATTCCCTCACATGAAATGTCGGGCTCTGAGCTGTTCCGTATTACACTGGAGCAAAACTTGGAGTTACAGTAGATGATTGCATGGCAGCACCAGCTCGGAGCTTGGCGGCACTCAAAAAGTACTAGATGTTAGAAATTATTCGAGAAGAAGTGAAGAACAAGACAGAAAGCGTCATCTTATAAATCCTGGGTTTGCCCAGTGCGTGGTACTGCTGCAGCAATGTTCTTTCTATAATAGCTTCTAGATGAGGTTTGACAGGGCAAGTTGGAGTTCTTCAGCCTGGAAGGGCTTGATAGGACACGATAGAGCTGTACGGAATTATGAATAGCCTCATGAGTGGGCAGCGATTAACTTTTCCTGGTACAAGATGTAAGAGCCAACACATGAAGCTTGTCACAAATATGTCCAGAACAGCCAAAAAAAGAGGTGGCACTGCAGGCAGCATACTGCCGTTGGGTTGAACTCCTTGCCAAAGGACACCGTATGGCCAAGGTATTGGCATGGGTGCAAGAGGAGAATGGAGGAGCTCATGGAGAGCTTCACTGTGGGATAGCAAACAGGTGAAAGTTCAGCCAGGTTGGGATAACTCTGAGCTGAAAACATCAGAGATTGGGAGAATATAAACAGGGTGTATCATATCTTCTTGTCTTGTTCTTACTCTTTTCAATGTGTTCCGGTGGATGCCTGTGCGTGTGTGTGGGAAAGGGCTCTGTGTTTTTGACTGCTTTTTAAGGTTATTTTGTCTGAGTCGCTCATCCCTGCACTTCCCACACAGACGGTAGAAAAAAAAAAGGGAATAAAACTTTTGTGTACAAAACAGTTAGCTGGACAGAGAGTTACAGACAATCATAGAACAACAGTGGCTTATTTCAGGGGCAAGACAATATTCTGAGGAATAACAAATGATTTCTCTTTCTTTTCCATGAGATATTCATTGTTCTTTGTCACACACATTTTACCAATTAGCTACAGAAAAGATACGGAGCCTGGAACTCTTGTTGACAATTGGAATAATCCACTCTTAATCCCACCCCAAAACTACAGGACACATCTTGGCGGCTCTCAGACAGACACCAATCTCCCTTCCTGCCCATCTTGGTCCTCAAAACCATCTTGGTTGCCCTCTCTGGGCAATGGAGACAGGGTGAGATGTGTGCTTGGTGGTTCCAGTGAGAACTGCAGCTCCTTGAACAAAACCTATAGATATGACCCAGAATCAATGTAAGAGGTGTGGGATGAAAGAACAAAAGAAATTCTGCCCAGAAATACCACTCTACAGTCCTTTCTGTAGTTCTCATTCTCAGCCAAAGAAACACCTGCACTTACCTTAAACCACAAAACGGTCGGCTGAGGGGTTCCTTCAATGACTGCCTGAAATTTGGCACGCTCCCCAGAATTCACCTGCACGTCCTCTATTGTCACTTGCATGTAGGGAGGACCTGGTGAGACACAAGGGTTTGCTGCGCGCACAATACCACAGCTTTGTTCGTGGTGTGCTTATGTGGTTGAGTTACTCAAATGGGATTTAGAATCTGACGTTCGCTTAGTATCAAATCAAAAGATATCACAGCAACATATTTGGGGTTCTTTATACTGAGCGTTATTTTTAGGCTTCGTATCTTCACGCTTACCTGTTACTTTTTGTTTAATAAACAGTTACTGCTCAAGAGATGGAAGTATTAAAAAAAACAAAAAACAACCAGTCATCAAGAGCTATTACCAAAAGAAAAGACAATGACAATCATGGGATGTGGGAGAGGGACACAAGACTTTTCCTTACTTGTTGGGGTCTTCTGCTCAGTCTTATACACACAAGTCCTCTCTGTGGTCTCAATATAAACTTCACTGTGTACGTCCCAGACCACATCTCCTTCTCGTCTGTACCAGTCGCCCGCCCCTGTGGCTGGTGATGTTCTTTCATGAAGCCCAAGAGAAAAGACCGTTACACAGTCACATAAAACTTACAGAGACACAGGATTACACCCTGCCATCAATCTGTGTATTTAACCACCAGACAAATCATTATTTACTTAACATTCATACAAGAATTTTGGTTTGGGGGAACCTTTTCTATCCTTCTTGCCCAATGCATGCATGACCAGGAGTCTAAAAGTAATAACAAACCTACAAGAATCAGTTCATGTCACCACCTGCTTCCTCCACTGCAGAGGACTTGCTTTTCTTGCAACAAAGTTTGCCGCATTCAGAAATCTGTGGTTTGGGATGGGTATTTACCTGGTAATAGGAATGGTGCGCTCCTGAGTGCTTTCGTATCCGGCAGCCGTCTCTTCATGGGGAGGACCGGGGCTGGGCTTTGGCACACTTGGTTCTTCAGCTGGCATCTGCCTTTGTGCTTTGCCTGGCAGCAGAAATAGGGCAAGTTAGACACGTCCCCTGTGACGGCACACCTGAAACCCAGAGCAAACCTTTAGAGGCAACCTGGTCTAGTGGGAGGTGTCCTTGCCCATGGCAGGGGGTTGGAACTCGATGATCTTCAAGGTCCTTTCCAATCTAAACCATTCTATGATTCTCGCTCTAGTCTGCCTTGTGTCAGAACTGAGTCCCTCTGACCTCAGCTGGGTGCAATCACTGAAGCTAAGAGGAGAGTTTGGCCCTTTTGAGAAGATGACATGAAGCCAAAGAGCTCGAATAACAGCAGAGACTGAACGGCAGCACATCATTGCTAACTTTTCTGTAAGGAAACAGACAGAGACACACATAGGAAAGACAGTCCGTAGGGACAAGAAGAAATAGGATGACTGGAAGGATAGTGTGAGTTCAATGCATCCTTTATAGGAGATACTTTAACTGTGTTTGAGTTCCAGCTCATGGCTACAATGAAATCATGGAATCATTTAGGTTGGAAAAGACCCTTAAGACAATTGAGTCCAACCATTAACTGAACACTGCCAAGTCCATCACTAAACCATGTCCCTCAGCACCATGTCAACACATCTTTTTACCTCCAGGGATGCCCAGCGTCAGCTTCATACACATGAATGTTTCAATTAAACTTCACATTATGTGAAGAGTTCTTGACTCACTGGTGCAATCACAGACACCATCAGTGAAATCAGTAAACTGACAGCACTGTAAAACTGGTGGTCAAGGCCGGCCCTGGCTGGGGGTTCAACTAATAGGGAGATAAGATGGAGGCATGCTAATATGGAGGACCTGGTGGTGTTACAGCATCAGCATTGGTACACCTCCACTGGGTTCTTTGATAATTTCCTCAAACAACTCCACATTACATCAGAACAAGGTTTGACATCTCAGGCTTATAGGAACAAGGAAATCAAAAGATGGTGGAGCTTGATGGCAGCTCAGGTGTTACTCTTTTATTATTAATTATTTTATCAGATATATCTTCAAAAAATGGTTTGACCTTCCATTCCAAAAGCACCTGATTGTCTTTTGCTATTGACCACTGGAGTTACCCCACAGGATAAAGTCCATCATCTTCTTTTTCATCTGAGGAGAAAAGGTTAAATCAAGTGGAGTCTTCTCCCCACCAGGAAGGGCCTTTTGGGGGAGCATTCTAGGGATGTCTGGTGCCGGCTGGTTTTGGAAAAAAGCAGCAGTTTCTAGAAATCACATAAAACAGCTCAATTGGGATGGAAAACACGGTTATTCAAGGTGTTACTGGTGGGATCAGAGATCCCGGGTTGGTGGGATTGTGCTTTGCTATTGCCAGCACTACTGAAATATTTGCTGTGTTTTTATTCAAAGCATGTGATCAGAGAGACAGTTGTCAAGTCTCCATCTTATTAAAATAATTCCCCATATTAATAACATGTTTAGTTTTCTCAAATGAAAGGACTGCAAAACCATCTCATTCACTACTCTGTTATCTCCGTAGCTACAATGAAGGAAATAATTTGCCAGTTGAGATTTTACTTATGATTTTTGAGCCTTCCCACTTCACCAGAGGATTATTTCATAGATGATTTCCTACTAGAAATAATAATTAAAAAAAAAAAGGTTTTAAAGCTCTGTCATTTTTTTATACAGTTATTTCGGGTCTGATTCCATGAAATGCTTCTATCCTTGTTATGTTTTAGACAAGAATATCTTTTTTTTAAACGGCATCTGGAGTTTGAGGGCTGAAGGCTACTTGACATTATCCTTTTACGTTGACACTGAGGGAGGACAGTTACTCTGACTTGACACAGAGACAGCTTAGACAAGTTGTTAGAGCAGAAGCGGAAGGAACAGAGGAAGGGTGGCCACTTATTCATGTTTTTTTCAAAAAACAACACAAAGACAAAAGACTTGTTCTCCTGTCAAGACACAACCACACACAACATCGGTTTTAATCACACGGAAACTATTAAGGAGTCCATCAAGGACTGGCTCCAGGGACTTGATGGACTTCAGGGACTTCACTGGACTCCAGGGCCAGTGAAATGCAGGTGAACCTGATGTGCCCAACATCCCAGAAAGTCTCCGGCAGTCGATACAGGGGTGTTGTTTACGGCAAACCGTAAAAGCAAAGCAACCTCCCCTACCCACCCCACCAAACCAAAACCCAAATGACTTCTATAAATGTAAAGGAGGGATCCCATTCCACCTTCTCCCCCCAAAAACTTGAAGCAAATCCAGGGTCAAAAGACCAAAGGTGAAAAAATCCCCAATCCCTCCATTTTCGGCAGGTGATAAACCAAACTCTACTTCAGACACAGTTTTCAAATAACTTCTGTTTCCAGAAAGTTCTGCCTCAAACTTGTGTCCAACCTAACCCCAACCCACAGTCCCACGTTTCTTTGGGTCTGAACGTTCTCTCTTAATCTGCAACTGCTCCAAATAAAACAGAAAAACGAGGGAAAAAATATCATTATTGGTGCGTTCAATATTTTTGTCTCTCTTGACTCCCATGGGACGTGTTACAGATTCATGCCAAACCTACCATGACCTGCAGCAGTCTGGGTTTGGGTACTGGCTTCATGAACTAGCACAGAGGGCCTGGCTGCGGTTTCCGCGTGGTCTGAAGGAACAGACCCAGGAAGGCCAAGGCCACCGGCTCCTCCTCGCATGCCCGGGGGAAGAGTCACCAGCAGCGATGCCGAGTCCACAAGTTTCTTTAGAGCTGTCTTGATCTCCTGGTCAGCACGCTGAAGCGAGGCCTGGACAGAATTCTCCATCTCTGACTGTGGGGAAGTCATTCCTACAGACAAGAACAACAGCTTTTCTCTCTTCAGGGTAAAAAGAAAATAGCATCATCATCCAACCCACAGAAATATTTGCAATTGTATCATTTTCCCCACCTAGAGCAGCACGCTGATGCGGAAATGCTTATTCCAGCAAGAAGGAACATCGCTAAGACTTGAAATAAGAAGGCTGGCACAACACGCTTCAAAAAGATGTATCTCACCAGGCTGAGGACACAGTGCCACACTGCACACACCCCCAGCCTCTCCTTCAGGAAGCAGAATGAAGGATCCATTTCGCAACTCAACCCTACATTGGCTGGTCTGTCAAAGTTACCTTGATTAAGATGAGTGAAATGAACCCAGCGGTGACCTATTGCACTGGTACATCCCCTACGTGCAAGGAGGACATCATTCTCCCAGGGAAGGAGAAGGAACGAGCAGGTACCAGCCTGGTACCTAGTGACCCTGGAGAAGGGCAGGGGAAAGAAGGGAAGGCTGCTCTGCTTCATGGGCAGAGACTTCATGAGTCCGAGAGGACGACAGAAAAGTTACTACTTGCAGAATAATGTATTTGTCCAACTTTGCAATATTGAAATGTTTTTGCTAGGCTTTGTACTGGAAGGTAACTGAGACCTAAATTTGTACTGGACTATGCCTTTGGAAGCTACTCTAGAAGCAAGGTCACTCGGTCTATAGAGTAATGCACAGCGGTTGTGCATAGTGACGCATTATGCAGAAGAAGATACAACTGCTGCCTCAGCAAACTCACAGACCCAAAAGCAGAGAGAAGACAAAAGCTTTCCACACATAAAAATGGATTTTCAAGCATATATCTTTGCAGAACAGCCACCCAGGAGATAAATACCACGGTTTCATCCCCAGTCAGCACTGGTGAAAGAAACTAGGCTAGGATGGGATCGTAGGACCTCAGGAGCTCATTTCATCCGATCTCCTGCCCGATATACCTTCCACAAATCTTGAAGAGGCACAACAAAGGGACAGACGGTATCTATGGAAACCCTCAAATAACCATAAAGACAAACAAAATGCGTGTCAGATTAAGACCATTCATCATGTTCATGATGTGATTCCTTGCCAAGCGAGAGTGGAAAGTCAAACCATCGTGTGGTTCAAGAAAAAATAAGCACACTTACACACAAACGGCTCTGGCTTGTTTAATGCCATTGCCACAGGAGCATGTCCTGTAGCTGTTCTGGTTCTGCTCCTTTCCTGGTGTTAGGAAAGAAAATTCCTGTGACAGACCTTAGCAGGTAAAGTTGAAGGCTATG